CTGAGCCATCCTGCTACCTGTTGGCAGCTCAGTGGCTGCTCAGCTCGGGCTGGACTCGAACCGCTGTTGCTCAGAGCTCAAACTCTTGAGCGAGCTCTTACCCAACTGAGCCACTCGGCCGGCCCGGGGAAGACGTTTTTAGAGGAGATATAAGTGTCACGGTTTATTTCTGGAGACTACTTTAGCTGATAGACCGTCTTCAGGTTTTCCTTTAGAACATGTTCACTTTTTCTTCTAACACAAAATCCAGCAGTTCAGTTTCTTCTTTTCTTGCCCACGGGCCGTTAGAAGCAGACATTGGTAGGCCTGCTCCTTAATTCAGCCCATGTGTACGTCTGCTTCATGCCAGGCTCGGGGCTGAGCACTGGGAAGACTTGAAAAGGTTAAGGTCAAGCTGAGAAGGCAGTTAAACCAAGAATTGTTATGATAAGTCACATGATGAATAGAATGAGGGAAGAGGAATAAAGTGCTGTGAGGGGAGAAGAGAGATTGACCTTGGTGCCAGGAGGAGGCGGGTCAGGGGACAGTTTCCCTAAGAAACTGACACTGAAGAACGAATAGGACCTAGACAGGGACAGACACAGGTGACAGCGTGTCCCGTTTGAGGACAGGAAAACAAACCTGTGTGCCCTTAGCCGGGCGCTCAGGGCTGGTCACGGTCTGCCCCTGCCCACTCCCGAAACGCTTTTCTGCTGAGTGGTTTCCCCACGCCCACGCCCACCTCTGTGCCTTTCCATGGGATGTTGCTTCTTCCTTTTGCCCCATCCGCCTGCTCCCTCAGTCAGACGCAGCTCAAAGCTCACTGCCTCCTTTGGCTCTGCTCAGGCTGCCTTAGGTGCACCTTCCTCTCTGAACCTTACATATGTCACTTCATTTATTCCTGTTGGCTGCTTAATAGACATCCAGAATCAGATCGCTCCTGACTCACTTATACTCCGACCACCCTGGCCTCAGCCCCTGTGATCTCTGGCCTGGGTTGTCCCAGACCATGTTGTCCTAACTGGTCTCCTTGGTACTAAGTGCCTTTCAGTTTCTTCTCAGCGAGGCAGCCAGAGGGAGCCTGGAGAAACCCAAGTCCCATCATGTCATGCCTCAGCTCAGAATCCATCTTTGGCTCCTCCGAGTGCCGAGAAGAACCTACAAGGCGGTACACAGCGTGTCCCCCATAGCTCGCTTACCTCCTCGCCGGTCCCCTTTGTTTATTGCCCTCCGGTCCACGGGCACCATGGCTGGTCCTGAGATCCACTAGACATGCCCCCACCTCAGGCCTCTCCTTTTGCGCTTCTCTTCAGGCCTGCCCAGATGTCACCTTCTCAGTAATCTAACTACCTTATTTAAAATGGCACTCCTCACCCCACCGTGGTAGTTCCTATCCTTGCCCACTGTGTTTTTCTCCATAGCATTTATCACGTTTTCACATTCTATGTAATTACCCTACTATTTTGTTTATTGTCTGTCTCCTCTTTCTAGAATGTTGGCTCCATTTGTTTGTTTTTTCCTGAGATAGCCACATCACATGATGCCTAGCAGAGACTAGGCCCTCCCTGCATAGCTGTTGGAGGAATGCTTTCATTCACTCAACACACATTCACTCTACACCTCAAAAGAGCCAAGCCCTTTGTGCAACATAACAGTTTGTTTCCATCTGTCTTGCCCGCTAGATTGGGGACCTCGGGTGCAGGTCAGTGTCTCCTAGTCACTGTTGCTTCCCCAGCATCTAGTGTGGTGCTTGGCACAGAGTAGGGGTGTAATACATGTTTGCTGAATGAGAGAAGCTGTGGAAAATTTTGGGTTTTGGCAAAGACTTTAATCATTCCAAAACAGGGATCGGCAGTTTCTGACCCACCGCCTGCTTTGGAAAATAAGCTTTTATTGGAACACAGCTCATTTATTTGTTTATGAATTGTCTTCTGCTACAACAGAAGAGTTAGTAATATAGTTGTAACAGATTTTAGGCTATATGTTATTTTATGGGTAGCCTCCAAAGCCTGTTATAGCCTGGTGTCTTAAGAAAAAGGTTGCCAAGCTCTGCTGTCAAATCAGTGAGACATGCTTTGTTTTAATTGCTGACGTGTGAAGCTGATATCCTGGTCAGCACAATAACCTTATGACAGGCGGTAGGGAAGTACATATCAGGACTGTTGTGGTTTGCCACATGCCCAGTGCATTTCCTGGGTTCTCCCTCTGACATTGCATGGGGACTAGGTTTGGTAATTTGTAAATCTGAAATCTAATGGTTTAGCGCTTTCCCTAGGCTCAAATCAGTACATCACAACACACAGAAAGCACCAGCAGACTACACTGTGGAAGCTATTCATGTTGTTTTCGTCTCTGGGCTCTGTTCCCTAATAGAGGTGCTGGGCAATTTGCAGACCATGATGTTTTGTCTGTTTTACCTTTTTATAGTGCTCCCAAATGCATCAGAAGAAACGGTGTCTCCCACCAGAGCACGGAACATGAAGGACTTTGAAAATGTAAGTGGCGATACCAAGTCACCCTCCCCAACAAATCACGCCTTGTGCCACTGTCTAAGCAGACCCAGGAGGGAGCTGTATTTCTGGATAATGCCAGCGTTAGGAGGAATGCCGGGTCCGGGGGCATTCTCTGTGCGACTTATGTACCTGTGCAGTCGGCCAGTTATGGGTTCCGACAGGATCAGCAGTTTCCGGCTTGGGGGCGGGTGGTGTATTTCCGGTGCCCTGCATGTGAGGATATTTCCATGTTGCACAGTTGAGAGGAGCTCATATTTGTCAAGGGCTTTCCTCTAACGTCAGGTGCCTTATTTATGGTCCCCACTTAATCTTTGCTACAACCCTGTGAGGTATTTTGTATTATCCCCATTTACAGATAAGGACTCAGGTAATACTTGAGTGGCAGGGCTGGGATTTGAATCCAGGTTTTAATGCCCCCACAGCCATTATTCCTTTCACCACACTGCACCGACTCCTTGATTTCTGTAGGCTTCATCTTTGTTACCGTTGAATGAAACGTGAGCAGCCTGCGCCCAGTGCGGGGTGCTACTTGTCTGAGAATGGAGTATTCGCTGCTAGATTTGACTTCTGTGCTGAATGTCTTCCAGCACTGTGTCTTTCATTTGTTAGCGGAGGGGGTCTGTTGTCAAGTAACAGGAAAAGAAGGTTCTTTCCCTGATTCCAATTCTCCTTAACAGCTTACCTGTTCAGCGCTCTCATTTATCATGGGAGGAATTAGACCCTTCTTCATTTGTAACCAAATGAAATCCATACTATGCGAGAGACGGGAGGCATTTATCAGCGGGAAGATGGAGGACAGAGAAGGACGCTCCACAATTATGTCTCTTTCTCCCCAAACGTCTTTACCGAACAGAGCGGTCCCGTCTCTGGATTTAATTTAGAATACTCATTACTGCTAATAGTTATCTGCAAACCACTAGTGACCAATTGAAGAAATGACTTGTCAGATCTCTAATGGAAACAAGTAATTTCTGAGCTTTGAGTTGTTATAATTTCAGCCGTACAACTTGATCTGTGCTGTGGGGTCTGGGGCCTCAAACGAATGAGATTTGATTATTTCACATCGTGTATAATTAAAATGTGCTCTACTATTAAATGGTTGTTCCTGTTTTATTGTAAGAGTAATAATAGTTACCTCTTATTGAGCTCTGGCTCTGAGCTGGGCACGTGACGTGTTAGGCTCTTTATATACCGGTTACGTTAATATTAAAGCAAGCTCTGCACGTTACAGCGTTATTTAACTTACGAGGGGCACAGTTTTGAATTTTGTTTCTAGATGGAAAAATGTAATGGAATCCTAGAATTTTGGTTTCACCTTTTATTGTCTGCCTTCCGAACTGGGAGGAGTCTTAGAATTGAATCCAACCCTCTGTTCTATGTGGGAGAAACTGAGGCCCGGGGAGGTGAAGTGGCAAAGCTGTTCTCAGAGGCAGTCTGTGCTCATCCTCTTCTGCTGGGTGACCTTGGGCCAGCCTGTTAACCTTCTGGACTTGCCTTGTCTTGAAAATGGGCACGATAATAGCTTCTACTCCACAGGGCTGTCACGAGGATTAATTGAGTGAATATATGCGAAGCATGTTTGCCTAAGAGAGTTCACTCTGTGTGTCAGCTATGGCTCCTTCTTGCTGTTATTAGTATATTTATTATTGTTATTTTTTTCTCCTCTGCAAGTGATTTAAGTTTCCCTTGCTGAGACGTGTTCTTAGTGACCTAAATACTATTTTTCTTAAAGGCGAGAGAGAGCCTTCTATGCCAATATGTTTTAGGATTTATGTTTTTTCTTTATGGCTGTGGTCCTTTGGCTGCTATTAGGTTTTTATGGCATTAATATTTTTTACTATAGCATTTTCAAGAGCAGATTCTGCAGTTGAAATTGAAATGACCACACTGTTCTCAGTGGCTCCCTTTTAGGCCTTTATAAGTTATTGAAAATTTTCATCTGGCCTGAGCTACCAAATGCATGATCCCTGTCTTGAGGTAGCCTGAACTTTCTGTGGGAGGCTTAGAGAAAATACTCTTGGCATCGGATGCTCATTTTAAAGTCAACATGCATATTAAAGAGGTGGCTGGAATACTTTTGATTCAAAGGGGACACCTATGATTTCTCTTATTCTAGTCTCAGATGATGGATATCTGAACATCAGGGTCTGTTAGCTCCAATCTAGAAAGACATAGTCCTCCTCCTGGTTTTGCTTAGAGTTCATCATTCATCAGTAAATATTTTCAGATCTATTCCCTGTGCCAGGCTGTGCCAGAGGCTGGGGAATTTGCAGTAGATTAATACCAAGTACGTCTCCCTGTCAAGAGGCTCACAGTCTAGTTGGGGAGAGGATAGGAAAATAGTGCAGAGATAGAGGTAAGGACAGGGTGCTGTGTGGCATGGAGGAGGGCCCCTGGCCTGGGGGTCGGGGGCGTTTCAGGGAAGCCTCCCTGGAGGAGGTGTTCCTTGAGCTGGGTCATCAGGGACAAGGAGGGGTTAGCCAAAGGGAGACGACTAATCCCAGGCACAAGGAGAGAGAGGCATGATAGGGTGCGGTGGGTTTAGGGACTTGTGAGTTCCCTTTGGCTGGAAGGGGGCTGTGTGAGGGGGCTTCAGAGAAGGGAGGCATCGAAGCAGGCGGGGCTCACATCCTGCAGGGTCTCAGATGGTATTCTGCTTTGTTTGAGTTTGTCCTGAAGATGAAGGGGAGCCAGTGATGCTTTTACTCTGGGGAGGGAAACGACCAGCATTAAGCTTTCAGATTATCTAGGCTGGGGCCTGCAAGGAGGAAGCAAGGCTGGTGACAGTGCGATCAGTTAAAAGGCTGCTGCATGTGGCATGGGGAGGGGATGATGCTGGAGCTAAGCGATGGGGTCGAGAGATGTTTTGGAGAAAGTCTGACTGTCAGAGCTGGTGGAGCCCCAAGAGTCATCTCATCCAGTCCTTTCATTTGACACCTGGGGACGCTGAAGCCCCGAGCGTGAGAGGGACTTACTCAGGCTTTGAACTCAGGTCTTCTGGCGCAGCAAGTCTTTCTACTCCACTCCACTCTTCTGTGCAAGTCCTCACTCACTCTGACATGTGACAACCACAAGCCTTCTTATGGGCCTTTAAGCTGGTAACCCGTTGTCTACTACCTTCATTAGCTGAAGGCATCTTCACCTGTACGGCAGGCCATATGGTAGGAAGTTGGCAAATCAGTTTGGTCTTCAGTGGGAGCCTGTCTTATTGGTCTTTTCTGGATCAGGGGTCGGCACACTGCGGGTCGTGAGCCACATGTGGCTTGGGTACATACATGTGTCCCTGAAGTAAAATTGAAAATTAAAATAAAACGATCATAGTTTCATTTATAAAATTTTTAAAGGATATTATTTACATAATGGTGATTTCATTTGTTTTATGGCTCTTGGATAATTTTTAAATGGTTGTGAGGGATAGGATTGGCTCTTCCGTCTCAAAAGTTTGCCGACCCTGTTTTAAATGATAATGTATTGGGTTGTCGGAAAAGTCATGACATATTTTTGCAACGAAAAACATAGAAAAAATATATCATAACTTTTCCGACAACCCAATAGTTGGGAGCTCCCTGGACTGGAGGAGGCCTGGCTGAGGCCGTGCTTTGTAAAGCAGTGTGCTTATTTGGTGTCACCTGTTCCGGAGACAGGAATCAATCTCAGTTGTTCTCTCTCTCTCTCTCTCTCTCTCTCTCTCTCTCTCTCTCTCTCTGTCTTTGTCTCTCTCTGAAAACTTTTTGAGTGAGTGTGGAAGACCCAGAACCTGGTTCAGCATATCCAGTCAGCCCACGTAGCAATCTTTATTTATACGTAGAAGAGTTTAATTATGGCTTTTTCTGTGCTCTTCCTAACAGAGAATGACGTGGGTAGCTTTCCACCTGTGTTAATAGTAGGACCCCCCCCCCCCGCATTATTTTCTTTTATAGCAAGCACTGTCTTTGTTTTAATTTTAATTTTTTTATTAGTTTCAGGTGTTCAAAACAACATACTCGTTAGACATTTATACCCCCCACAAAGCTATAACCTCACAAAGTCTACTACCCCTCTGACGTCGTCAGCACCCTGGCTTTCCCACCGGGGCCTTATGACTGTTGGTATATTTATTTGTGGACTTAACATGTGTCTCCTCTGCTCTCTCCCTAATAGTCAGCACCGAACCTATCAAGGTGGTAGGCACGTCATACATATTTGTTGATTAAACGAATGTGTTGAGTTTGTGTAAGATACTAAACCTGTAACTTTTGGTTGCCTAATCTGTAACATGCGAAAAGTAATATTCATCTCATAGGGTTGTGGTGAGGTTTAAATAACATATGCTTAGGACTGGCCTTCAGCAGATGGGGGCGGCTGCAGGGACTGAATAGAGTGGCCAGAGGCAGCGCAGCTGGGGGGAGATGATCAGGGTGGGGCTGCAGAGCCCAGGCAGAGGAGAGTCCCTCACGAGGGCAAGGTGAAGCTACGAAGGGGGAGCAGGGGTGCGGTCAGAACGGGGCAGGAGAGCAGGAAGCGTGTGGGGTGCAGGTCGGTGGGCGTCGGGGGACTGTCTGTAGCTGGCAGAGTGAGCGTTGCATCCACTCCAGTGGGCGTTGCATCCACTCTGCTGCTGGTTCTGCACCGGATGCAGCCTGCCAGAGCCAGGGCTTCTGGAATGAAGTTTGGCTGATGGCTGGGGGGGATGTCTGGGAGGTGTTCAGCACAGGGGTTCGTCCGTGTGGTAGAGCGGCCTCTTGCTTACTGGATTGAGTGCTGAGTCCTCATACCTCTACATGTCCGGGTCATGCCCACCAAAAAACCTGGCCAGATGGTGGGCTGGGCAGTATAAATTTTAACAATCTTTTGGAAGGCCATTTGGAACGAGATTTTGATAGTCATAAAAAAAATATTACTCTTGAGCCGACTAATCCGTTTTGGGAAAATCTATCCTAAGCAAACAACCCAGTGGAAGGAAAAAGCTCTGCATGAAGGTGTTTGTTGCCACATTTTGTGTA